CAAAAAAAAAAAAAAAAGTTTTTAACAATCAATCGATTCGAAGAAGAGGTTAGTTGTTATTTTAATATAATGTAATTACATATTTTGTTTTGTTTATGAATTTGTAAGAAATATTTGTTGGTTTTTGATGAGTATAGTTTAGAAAAGATTTATTGTTGATTTAATAATTGTGTTAAATGATTATACATTGTTCTTTGATGATGGATTTCGGTGTATGTTGAGAATTTTTGCGAAAATTGGATGATTTGTATTGTATTGTTGGATTATGAGAATTAGGGTTTGGAGTGTCATTTTATAAAAGAACATTTGATTTTTTTTTTGTTATTGTAGTATTAATTGGAAATACTTATCTTGAATTGAGTAAAAGAATAATTGAATTTTTTGGGAAATTATGTGATGTTGTAATTGAGAAGAATTGAAAGTGTTTATATGTTATTGATGAATTTTATTTTTTTGTTGTGTGAATGATAAAAGAATAATTGAATTTTCTGGGTGTTGGGTTAGAAAGTATGTGTTGTTGTAATTGGGAAGAATTGTTTTTTGCAACAGGTATAAATGGCGTCTACCGGACCATACTTTGTTAATGTGTATTGGAATGTTCTGAAGGAGTTGTTATATGATGTTTCAGATTTTAAAAACTCTCCGGATGGTTCATTTAGCATTGAGGAGAAGCTATCATTTAAAGAATTGGTAGATATTCTTTATGAAAATTTTGGGTTTCATCGAGATGGTTGGATAATTGAGAAGATTAGTTTACTGAGTAGCCAACGCGATGGTTCGTGGAATATTGGAAACCTGAATACTGATAGTGCTCTTGACTAGATATATTATTCCCTTCCTTTCTCCTATGTGTATTTGCATTTAGAGTTGAAGCAGGTTACACAGGCACCTACAGAGGTTACGCAGTTTGAGGATGTTGCCCCTTTTTACGGGGAAGTGGCTGATGTTGAGGGTACGTCCACTTCGCATGTTCGTAATTTTGGCGAAGGGACAAGCTCAACAGTTAGAGAATGCGATAATGAGGGTGATGATGATTTCGTTCGCGGTGAAGACGATTTCACAGATGATACCTCGGAAACGGAAACAAGATCAATAAACGAAGAGAGTGAACTAGAATTTATTGAAGAACACCCATTTCCTAGTACCGGTCAGCACGTGTATCGCGAGATGGGTGAGTGGGACCCGTCGTGTGTAGACCGTGATGAGTATGCCTTGCCAGTGTGGGATGGGCATGTCGATACTATCCGTTTGGGAACTGTTTTCCCGTCCAAGAAAGAAGCACAGCTGGGTATCATGAGTTGGAACGTTAGTAGGTTGAGGGAGGTTAAGACAACATATTCGAATAAGAAAACATTCAAGGTGGTGTGCACATCTAACGAAGATGAACCTTGTCCGTGGATGGCTCGGGTGATGCACTGCACACGGGTTCATGAAATGTGGGAAGTAAGAGAATGGACTGAGAGGCACAGTTGTATGCAAGAAGTCGAAAAAAATGACCACAGAAATGTAACCGCCACAATGATTTCACATCTTGTCATGACCAAGATTCAAATGAAACCCGACTACAGTGTTACCCTGATCCAGAAGGATGTTAAAAAATGTTGGAAAGTCGATGTGAGCTACAAGAAGGCATGGCACGGGAGGAAAAAGGCCATCGATCGTTTGTATGGCACTTGGGAATCGAACTTCGCACAACTCCCTCAGTAAGTAAAACGCTTATTAAAAATGTACGTGTTCTTTGTCACTATGTTTATGTATTGACGATTACGTTTTGTAACGTGCAGGTTTTTTGCGGCGCTTCAAAGAGCGAATCCCACTACGGTTGTAGAGTGGGAATGGCAAGGTGGGGAAATGGCGGCCCACTATCAGCACAGAGAATTCAAATTTGTTTTCTGGGCGTTTGGTCCCGCCATTCAGACCTTTCAGAGATGCCCGCCGGTAATTAGTATGGACGGCACACATTTGCGTGGCTCGTACAAGGGGAAGTTGCTTGTGGCTGTTGCACAGACTGCGAATAAACGGCTGTTGCCAATCGCCTATGCGAATAAGTATAATATAAGTTTTTTTAAAAAACTATTCATATATAAAAGTAGTGGTACGTCATTTATTTTTTAGCCGGTAGGATTTGATTTTCGATTTTCTATTTTTTCGCCGGTTTGAATCGTTTATATAACCTTATCTTAAACGAACGAATGAATATGAATCATGAATTAATTTTATTGTAGATCGAATACAAATAAGAATAATATAAGTTTTTTTAAAAATCTATACATATATTAGTTAATTAGCTTAAATATTTGAATGATTTAAGTTAACATAATATTTAATTAACAATTTTTCGTATATAAATTTTACTATATAAAATATTATGTCATATGCCTTATTAACCTTATCAAGAGCCTATATTTTCTAAAGTGCCATTAAGAATCCAAATTATACCAAGTGGATGAAAATCCATCTCATTCTCATCACTCAACAAATGTCGTGAAAGGTCACTCACCAATTTCAACCTTCTCATTCTCGTCACGCACCAATTAAGTCTTTAACCCCAATTTCAACCTAACTTGCAGACCAAAACCGTACTGTGTCGATCTCATCTCCCAAATACAACCTAAAAATTGAATCAATTTCACGAGGAAATAGGAATTCAATCTTGGCACAATTGATGACGTCTGCCAATTGGTGCTCGAAGTCTTCGGCAAGGACGAGGACAGAGGCGGAGTTCGTGCACTATCTGGAGGTCGACGAGTCGGTGGAGGTGAGGTTGGGGATGGTGTGAGCGGACGGCCGAGTCTGCAGCGTGGTGGAGCAGGTGTTATGGCCGAGGGACAACCACTTCTCCATGGAGGTCCGGTTGTCGGTCACGCTGGTGCAGAGTCTCGGTAGAGACATCATCATGCCCAAGAGCTCGCCGGCTCAGATATCTGCAACTCTTTCCTGAACCAGATGCGGAGCCACGAGATGCTGGCCAAGTTCCTCCAAGCAGCAGATGGAGACGGTGATCTACGACATCGGCAACATTGGGGCTTCTAAGTGAACTGCCTTCTAAAGACTTCTTAGTCGATGAAAGATTCATTCGAGCCATTTAGATGCTGCTCGAGCTCCCTGTCCTGATGAAGAAGAGATTTGACTGGATTGGGGATGGTGTGAGCGGATGGCCGAGTCTGCAGCGTGGCGGAGCAGTTGTTATGGCCGAGGGACAGCCACTTCTCGATGGAGGTCCGGTCGTCGGCCACGGTGGTGCAGAGGCTAGCCAGAGACCTCATCACGCCCATGGGAATCGAGCACCACAGGTACCGGTTGTACACACTTGAAAAATTAAAAAGAAAATTATAATTTATATCTAGCAAAACAAGTAGCGGGACAAAAAATTTTTGGCGCTCAAAATTTGAGCTTAATTAGGAATTTTTTTATCTAATTAGGGTAGAGAAACAAAGGGTCTAAAGATTTTGTGCCTCCGTCGATCCCTCTCTTTTTTATTCTGCTCAAATATATATACACAGATAGGTTATACTGAGCACTACATCAAAAAAGTAGTCGCAAAAGCAAAACACAGGCCTCCTTACAATCTTTTCTTGGTGAAACAGGCCTCCTTACAATCTTTTCCTGGTGAAGTTTTCACCGTTCATGTATAAGATTTGTGTTTTTACAGATTTTTATATTGGCTCACCTTTATTCTGATTCTATCTTTGTATAATCATAATATCTGATTCTATCTTTGTATAATCATAATAGCTGAAGGTGTGAAATTTGTGTTTAATATTATGTTTCAGATACTTTTTCATGTTCTGATTTTGTCTTTGTATAATCATAATAGCTGAAGCTGAAGGTGTAAATTTTGTGTTTCATATTATGTTCCATATTCTGATTCTATCTACGGCTCACCTGATTCATTTTCTGATTCTATTTTTTTCTGGTGATGAAGTTTCTTCATCTTTCATGTATAAAATTTGTGTTTTTACAGATTTTTTCTTCACCTTTCATGTATAAAAGGCAACTGAAAGTGTAATTTTGTATTTATTATTAAATCTACATGTGTTATACGACTTTGTGAGTTCTTAAAAACATAGTTACTGGTTACATGTCTTTCTTGGGATAATTTATGCCTATGCAGTGCAATCTAAGACGATGTTAATTTGTATGTGTGTAAATAGTTGTCCCACCTTTTGTGAATGTAATAGGATTTGTTAACCATCTTACTAGCCAAAAGCTTAACATATCCTAATATATGCTGCAACAATTATATGCAAGCTGCCTACATTGTCTGAATGAATTATAATTTGGTACTCCTCTTGCTGGTCAAAAGGATATTAAGTCCTAATATATGCTTACATTTTTGCTCTCTTATGTAGATTTCTACGAATGGCGCCAGGAAATCGTAAAAATACAGTTATTTCAAAAGCTTCTCTACAAAGTCTCCTTAACCAAGCTGCCAAGGATAGCTCAACTGCTGCGTCAGCTCGTATTGGAGTCAGAAAAATTTTTAACCAATCAAATATGTCATCTGATGGAGTGGCCAGAGCAAGTCGAACCACTGAAGTTCATAATGGTTCTTCTGGTGATAATACTACTGGAAATCACACTAATGAGAGTGGCATTCCACAAACCCTTGAAGCTCCCAACCAAAATCTGAATTTGGATGCAGCTGAAGGTTCAACTGGTAACCTTCAGGAGACATCAGTCAAAGGTACAATATGTTTTTTACTTACTGTTGGAATAGTTACAGGTACATTATGTTATTTGTTTTTTACTTAGGATAACTGTTCGAATAGTTGCTGTTTACAGTGAATAGTTGTGTTTCCGTTATTTTCGTTATGTTGGACTTTGTTGTTGTTCACTTACTAAGGCGTATTTTCTTTTTTTCCCCTTTTTTATTCATTCTATTTTACTTTTTTTAACCAATCAAATGTGTCATCTGATGGAGTGGTCGGAGCAAGTTGAACTACTGAAGTTCATAATGGTTCTTCTGGTGATAATACTACAGCAAATCACACTAATGAGAGTGGCATTCCACAAACCCTTGAAGCTCCCAACCAAAATCTGAATTTGGATGCAGCTGAAGGTTCAACTGGTAACCTTGAGAAATCAGTCAAAGGTACATTATGTTTTTTACTTACTGTTAGAATAGTTGCAGGTACATTATGTTTTTTATTTTTTGCTTAGGATAACTATTGGAATAGTTGTTGGTTACAGTAAATAGTTGTTGTCTCTGTTATTTCCGTTATGTTGGACTTTGTTACTGTTTACTTACTAAGGCGTGTTTCCTTTTTTTCCCGTTTTTTTATTCATTCTATTTTACTTATCAAAACGTTGTCGTTTTTGCTTGGGAACATGGATGCATGTACAGACGTGAGATATATCTCATCGTCTTGTTCCTTTTCTGAGTGTAAGCTCCATATATTTTCTCTGAAATAAGAAATGGTGTCCTCTTAAAATTCTCTCCCGTCGATTCAAATATTGATTTCAACAATATCAACATGAATTGCTATCAAATTGCTATCGTCATGTTTGGAACCATGAATTTTATTAATTCTTATTGNTTTTTTTTTTTTTTTTTTTTTTTTTTTTTTTTTGTGCATATTGTGCTGCTGTGACTTGTGGATTATTTTGTTGTGCATGCTAGTAGCTGATGCATGTTGGAGTTGTGCTTGTGCATGCTGTTAATGAACAGACAATATATTTAATTTCATGCCTTCTCGAATATATTTGTGTAGGCATATTAGTAGAAAAAACCATGAACTTATTTTGGACTGTCGCATTTTGTCCACTTATTTGTCTGTCAATGTTGCACAGTTGTATTTTGATTTATAAATGAGTTAGAATCTTAAAAACTTTGAATGAAATAGTTGCAAGGATATAGTATATGTGTCCTCTATTAATGAAAAATGTTCTTTGTTACCAGACAAAGCTTCCATCCCTAAGAGAAGACGTGGTCAAACAATGGGTAAGGGAATTATGAAAGCATTTCATGCATCTGAAAAGAAATTGAAGATAGATGTGGATCCACTGATAGGGCGGCCCAAAATTCGAGAGCAATCTGCAAAGCTCTCAAGTCAAATTGGTGTAGTAGCTCGAGATGTCCTTCCAGTGCCATGAAAATGGAAAGAAATGGCTGAAGAAAAATTGTTGGAACCGGGCATTGATCATATAAAGGTAGCTATAAAATAATAAAAAAAATGACATGTTTTCTTTTTCTTGTATATGTAAAAATTTGTTAAATGTGATGTTCAGATTCATATGGATGTCAACTTGGATGTACCGGGTGTGAGGCACTGCTTGGTTGATAGGTTGAAATCTACCTCTCGACAAATTCGTTACAGGTTACATAAGCATTACAAGAAGTATGCAAACCCAGAAGAGGCTAAGAATAATAAGCCACCATTTTGTGCTAGTAAAGAAAATTGGGACGAACTCTGTGATTATTTTGCATCAGCTAAGTTCAAGGTAACGTCTCTTGAGATTGGTACTCTTATTGATATATTTTGGGAATATTTCTTATGTTGCAATTTCTTGTTTTCAGCACCAAAGTTCAACTTGTTACTATGAATCGACAAATGTTAAGGACCCCGCATATATCTGGCAGAACTCATTTTTCTACCCTTCAACATGAAATTGTAAGTTGTAAACATGCAATTATGTTTTACAATATTTACATATCCTGTACATTTTATTTTTCATTTATTTTTCATATCCTGTACATTTTATTTTTATATGTAGGTTCATATCCTGTACAATTATGGGACGAACTCTGTTTTACAATATTTTACAATTATGTTTTACAATTATTTTTCTAGAAAAAGGTTCGTATCCTGTACATTTTATTTTTATTTTTATTCTTTGCTAGGCTCAGAAGGATGTTAATAGAGTTGCTAATGGAGATGCTAATGGAGATGCTGATGGAGATGCTGGGTACACAATTGATGCTGGGGACATAATTGAGTTCTACAAACTCACACATTGCACTGATAAACATGCATGGTTGGTCAACTGATGAGGCAAAAGAAAATTGGGTAACTCACACTTTCATATTGCTATTGGTATTGTTATTTTTTAGATAGGTATGATATATGTTTGTAATCCATCAGGAGTTGATGGTATCGAGGCGAGAAAAATATGCAGCTGAAGGAGCTAAGAAGACGAACCAAGAAATAGTTCACGAGGTGCTTGGTCCAAGATCTACTTATCTAAAGGGACTTGGTTATCAGACGAATCACTTATATAAACGCATTTATGCTCCCGCCAACCAATACCTTCAAAAGGAAAAAGAGCTTCAGGAAACCCAAGAAAAGCTAATAGCATCAGAATCACGAGTGAGTGAGCTCATGGAACAAGTTAATGACATGAAGAACTTAATAGGCCAACAAGGTGTAGATATTGAAAAGCTTAAGGCATTCATGGCTTCCAAAGGAAATAGTTGAGGTAAAAGTTCAATATAAACAATGGAGTTCATTTTTTATTTTGTGAAAATATGCTTTGATAAATGAAAATATATGTGCTAAGTTAAATATTTTACATTTACAGGTGAATGGATGCTAGTGGATTTACCAAGACATTTCCGACGATGTGTAATTCAGCGAGAGTAGAAAATAAGCCTATGGATTTGTAGATTTATCTCTTATATATTTATTTAGTGTTTTTTTACTTAATATTCCAAGTACTATTGTTTTTGTTTTCAATTATGAATACTTCAAATCATTCCTTCTATTGATACTCATTATCTTTAAATATGTTGTTATTTCATATCTAATTTACTGGCTAATTGCAATAGTATTATTATGAACTTTTGTGATAATTTTCAATTGGTAACTAAAAGTAATCTTTCGTGACACAACGTATGGTCAAATATAAATTCATGATTTGTGGCATAAAATGACTTATTTATGACTAATAGTTTGTCACACTAAAGTTCTTTCACGTGACGGTACATTTGTCATAGATATTCTTTATTATGACAAATTTATAGTCATTATACATACATATTTAGTGACAATTGTCTTTTGCGTCATATAGTTGTACTTTTTTATGATAGAATATATCGTCATATTTTTATACACATTTGGTGACGATAAACATCATGTCATATAATACGAACTTTCTATGACTAAATATATCATCACCTTTAATATATTCATCTGGTGGCAAGGAATGTTTCATCATTAAAACGTACTTTTATGTGACATGTTCGTTCGTCATTATAAATATTTTTATTGGTGACAAACAATATTTCATCATTAAAACGTACTTTTATGTGTGACATGTTCGTTCGTCATTATAAATATTTCATTGGTGACAAATAAATTTTTGTAACTATAATACAACTCTTTTATGACAAATTATACTATAGATGACAAGTCTTATATGAAAATTAAGACAAACTGATTGTCATTATATTTTAATAAAGATGACGATATATTTTTTTTTGTCATTATATGTGATTTTTCAGATGACGAAACCATATATGTTCATCATATAAAGGCTAACTTTTAGTGACAATTAGATAATTTTGTGACAAACATTTTATGATAAATGTGACAAATCAATCGTCACCGAATCTCACAAAGGTATAATGACAATACTAATTTTTATCACAAATAGCAAACATTAGATGACAAATTGAAAAAATTGTCATATAGACCTAATATGACGCAGTTACAGTGACAAACTCCGTGACACTAAAAATTCGTCATAAAAAATATTCGGTGACGAAAATTCACATTTTTATGACAATTTTTTTTGTCATATTTTTTCAGAATTCTTGTAGTCAAATTCTGGTCAATCATTAATGGCAATTTGATAATTATTTAATCATAGTATGGTCAAATATGTGTATTTTACCAATAATTAAGGATAAGTTGGTCAATACACATATATTATGTGGGACCCACTCACCAATTAAATATGGATTTCTCTTTCATCATCCTCCTCCATTATACCAATCGATTTTAGATCTAAGAAACACACACACACACACACACACACACACACACACACACACACACAGGAGAACAACCCTCCGCCATACCTCCGCCGTGACTCCACCGCCAGCCGCCAACTGCGACGCAAGAGACTCCAGCCGTACATCCGCCGTCCGCCGCCGATCGCGACACTGGAGACGTCGGCCGTTCCTCCGTCTGCCTAGGCAACCAATCTCGCCGGCGTCCTCCCGCCGACATCCTCAGATCCAGTCGCCGTTAGCCGTTCACCTCATCGAGATCCTATGCGGCGGCGCCGCTCTCGCATCGTCTTCCACAGGAGGTGGAGCAGAGGCGACCTAGCGGCTGATGCCAGACCAGTGAGGAAGTTCAGTGACGAGTGTATGTCACCGGTAAGGAAATTCAGAGCCGACTTGGGTGATTGGGGGAATTTTAATTTAGGGTTGTGTGATTTGTTGCTGATCTCGGGGATGGCAGCGTTGAGGGCGGCCCGACTGTGAATCCGACGGTCGGGTGTTGTCGGCGGCGAGTTGTGTCTGAAAAAGGAGTGATTGAATGGTGTTTTTGGAATTTGGTCTTGATTTGGACAAAAATTTCGAATGACAGTGGTAGCTGCATTTTCGTGGTCGGCGGTGGGTGGTGATGTGGCCGTGGACTGACGACCGTCGGCCCGTCGGAGGAGGTTGTCGCCGGCGGGAGAGTGGGGAGGGAGGCGGTTGGGTGGAGGTGGCTGGGTGTTTGTAGAATTGGGTTTGTTTTTTGAGAATTTGATAGGATACAAGGATTCAATAGCAATTTTATAAACTTAGATAAATTACAATTGAGTTCAAGGGTCAAATATATAATTAATTAAAATATGATTAGTATTTTATCATTTAATATTTTAATCTTAAATTTCCTATTTTTGTTGTATTTTAATATGTATGGCAATCTTGTAATTCATTAAAAGTGCCATAAGTGCACAATGTTGTACAAAAAATGCACATTAAAAGTTACATCGTAATTTAGTTAAATTATACATTTCGCTATGTAATATCCCATTTAGTAATTAATAAAAGTAATTATTTTAGTTCTAAGTTTGAACTAATTACTTTTATTAATAATGCTCGTTCCTAGTTTCGAGCTCAGTTATTAAGTTATTCAGTTAAAAGTTCAAGTTGAAAGTATTCTCGGTTAAATTTTATTTAATCGAGCTAGTTCAGTATTTAATTAATTCTGGTCTGTTTATTTTTATGAATGGATTTATAAGATGGGATTAATTATAATAAGATGACAAATAATAAAAATCGAGTATATTTTGATTACTCATTCAAGATAAGTCGTGAATGGAACCAAGCATGTTCGGTTACGAGTTAAGATTATTACCGAACAAATGATTCTCGAGCCTAGCTTAGTTTTGAGTATTGATCAAGTTATAAGGATTAATTACACATTAATGTTTATTGAAGTGAAATAAGTTATTCAAGTTCAAGTTACATTCCATTTTATTTAGCTAAATGAATGTAAATTTGGCCATTTATAGTTTGAATGAGAAAGAAAAAGAATAATGAGTCGAGACAAGTTAGGTCTCGAGTTCGGTTAAGTATCCATGAACATTTAAGTTATAAATGTTCAAAGAAGTGAGAAATTTATTTAGACATTTTAGTCTATTTAAATTATTAGAGAGAAATATGAAATTTTTAGAATTTTCGTTTTTTTCGGTTTTCGATTGTAGTCGGAATTTATGTCCGATTTCAGTTCCGAGAAATAAATTAAATTATTTTCTCTCTATTTTTTAGTAGACTACAATACAAGAAAAATGTTTTAGCATAAAAAGGAAAAATGCCAAAAGAAAAGAAGGAAATTCGAAAATAGTAAGAATTTTCGATTTTACGGTAACTGTTCATTTTAAGTCAGAATTTGGTTCCGTAAATTGGAGAATTTTCACTAAATCTCGAATTTAATCATTGAGATCAGATTAGGATCAGAAGAGGGGCCTTTCTAAGCATTGACTATGGGTTGGAGAAGTTTACAAGTTAAGAATACTATTTATTATCTATATTTATTTTTACAAGTTTGTATTGTTTACTTTGTTAATTTCTTCACTCAATTATGATGTCTTGCAAATTGTGCCTATAAATAGAGGCCTAAAATTCAGAGTTTTTCACACCAAAATAAAGTTCCAAAGTTAAATAAAAGTGAAAGAGAGAATGAGTGGGAGAAACTTTGGAGAAGTAAAGAAGATGAAGTAAAGAATGAAGTTTTTACTTTGACAAGAAGATGAGGTAACTCACTTATCTTAAAGTAAATGTTTAAGTTTATGTTTTGATGTTAAGTTTACATGTTTATAAGTATGTATAAACATGATAAAGAAGTTAAGTTTATAATTGATTCTATGAATATAAAGAGTTAAATATATTCAAGATCAATTATATGATGTACATGCTTGAATTTGATAAGATGATGATAAATATATGAATAAACTGGAATTATATGATTTAAATGAATGATTCTTATGTAAAAGAGGAGTACATGAGAACAAGAATTAAGAGATTTAGTAAAGTATAACTTGAGTTATGAATATATGAAGATGAACATGCAAGATAAAGATTATGTTCACTATTAAAGTTAAAGTTTTCATAACTTGATGAATATGCATGATAAGATTATGAAATTTTGAGCATATGTTTAGTGATAAGATGAGATTATGACTGTTAAGTTTCAAAAGTTAAAGATGAGAAATGAATAAGTTATGAAGATAAGAAAGCATATACGTAAAGATAAGTATATATATGTGCAAGAATAGTCATAATAAAGTTAAGTTGTTAAAATGAGATGTTCATGAGTAATTTTCATATGAATGATGAGTAATTTTCATATGAATAATGAGTAATTTTCATATGAATGGTGAGTCATATGATGGAGTTTTGATATCATATATGGAGT